CACTTTTTCTAAGCCTTCGCCCAAACGAACAATTTAGCAAATCTTGAATGAATTAATTTACACTATCCCTTCTACATATCCACACACATTCGCCTATACCTAAAATCTAATAAAAATCAGATTTGTGACCATTTCTTTATTTTATCAAGATTGGTTGTAATTAAGAGATCAAGTAGGAGTATTAATATTAGTGTCCACTATTGCAAACAGTGATGTATCGTCCACGAATCGAATTTCATTATGTATGCCCTGTTACGACGCACTTTGAAAAATTACACACTTTGAAAAATATTTTCAAAGTGCGTTAAATTTGGGACCAAATCAACGCACTTTAAAAAAATAAAATTTCTTTTCAAAGTGCGCTAATATCGACCATATAAATGCACTTTGAAAAATGTGTATGGCTTGGTCAATATTCTTGCAAATCTTAGATATGATAGAAATAATTGAACCTGTTTGATAACTCTTCGGTATGGTCACTTTACGATATGAAAGTGAGCGATTTTGATTTTTCCATATATGTACTTTGAAAATTCTTTCTCCCTTAATTATTTTACTGAACTAATTTTTTTTTTTTTTACAGTTTTTATGCATTTTATGTAAACTAAAATTTATTGAAAAATTTTAACGTCATACCAGTTATATTGTTGTGAAGCATAAGCATCTGTACGGCGGGGGGTGGGGGGGGGGGGGTCACACAAATGTTTTGCAAATACATTATATAGGCATTAAAAATTGGGGCTTACCTTGGGGGTGTATCCTATTTCAATTTAAATTATTAAAATCTATAAGTCTAGAATTTGTTTTATGCATTTTTTTCAAAGTGCGATGCCACAATGCCCTCAGTTATGTCATTATAGTTTACATCCACCTCTGTTGCCTTGTGTCAAAAGTTCAAAACGTTTTGCACCCTAGTCCTCGTTCACACGTGCGTGGCCGCAGAGAGCCGCGGGCATGTCGGTGTTAAAAATACATCGTGTACTCCGATAGTTATAAATGGAAATAATTGTAAGTGTACCAGTAAGTGATGTTTCCAACTCAAGGGAAAAACCCGAAAAGAATATTTCAATTGCAGAATTTTACGGGAATATGCTTGTACATGCAAGTTTAATTATATACATGTATTCATTTTTACATGTACAAAAGTGGCCAAAATATATGCACACTTTTGAGAGATATATCCAAACCTTAGTCTAGAACAGATGATCTAACCCCTGTGCCACACGGGCGGTGCTCAGATTTGAAGAATTAATTCAAGACATTTTTATCAAACTTTAGTATGCTGATACACTTTAACCTTGCACTTTCCTGTGACCTTTACCTCACTTGTCTTTAATTTGCATTTTTCTTAGTATTAAAGAAACCATTTGAGATATTTTTATGTAAGCTTATGCATTATTTGAAGGGGATTTTATAATCTATATCCATTTTTTAAGATTTCAATTTTAAAGAAACTATTCAAGATATTCTCAACAAACGTCATACATTAATACAGATTTTAATGTTACATTATGTACTAATATACACTTGGCGATGCATTCATGTCCTATAGACATATTTCTAGTTAAATCCTTAGCTAAATCATAGTGTTGAACCTAATAAATTCTTCCGATTTGATACTGTATATGCTCAGAAAAAATAAGGCTGAACATATCCATTCATTCAGACAAGTCAAGGTTACTGACAGAGAAACTGTAAATTCGCTACAGTATTTGTACCTGTGAAACATTGTTGATACATGTATAATGCAGGGTGGGACATGATCTTGACTCAAGTTCAAGGTCACTAAAGATAAGATGTTTTGGCTGGATTCATGGACTAAAAGAATATATAAAAAACATGTGTGTACTTTTCCAGTCGGTAATACACATACCGTATGATCCCTATTAACCACCCCTGCCCCCATAAGCGCCCCATAGGTCTTTTTTCAATTATTAGAAAACAAGGGCCCCCTCTACAATGATTAAAATCATCTAGAATCGTATCAAAAGTCTGCCAAAATTTGAACAAAGTGAAAATGTAACTTGTCTATTATCCAATTTCTCAGTGGAAAATGAATCATATCGAAAAAATTGGGTGGATTATCCTCACTTAAAGTAAAGTTCGACATTATTTTAGCTGTTCTTTAAAATTTTTGAAGTATAAGAATGACATTAAATATTAATATGAAGAGAATACCAAAATAACCGCCTCCTTTTCGAAATTTTCTACGCGCCCGGGGCGGTTAATAGGGATTATACGGTATTAGATTTTTATAACAGAGTTTGTCATTGCATGACGCAAGGTCATTTAGAAAGTTCAAGTTCACATACATTCCTTTACAGCATTTTTCATGGCGAAACATTGCTTGACGCAAGGTCATTTAGAAAGTTCAAGGTCACATACATTCCTTTACAGTGTTTTTCATGGTGAAACATTGTAAGTTTCTTCCTTTACAAGCCTTTAGGTTGCTTACTTGTATAACTTTATAATGTGGCTTGACCTAGACTCAAGGTTACGTCTTCCTATCCGTAGCTCCAACGGAAGACCTATTCGTTGCTTTGCAACGAGCTCGGCTCTAGTTCTTCTTCTTTTCTTTTTAAATTTGCTTGTCAAGCTTTTTTTTTTTGTAGGTTTGATTTTTTCTTTTTCCCTTAGTTCCCCCCCCCCCCACTTTCAATTTGCTTCCGACGCCAATGAAACCCCTAAAAAAGGGTAAGCCCCAATTTTCAATGCCTACATATATATATATATATATATATATATATATATATATATATATATATATATATATATATATATATATATATATATGTCTCTCCCCTGGTTTCGACGCCTATGGAAAGTATGAATATATTTCCACAAATGAGAAACAATTTAACATGTTGTAATTTTATACAAGTGTGATTGAGGGTGAAATTCATATTCTTTTTCACCATAAATCATATTCTAACTGAGGTAAGAAACACATACCTTAGTAATATTTATCTCATATAACAAAGAAAATATTGATCTCGACAATGAAAGATATATATGATACAATTACTAGTCTATGTAAACACTGGGTGATATATATTATACATAAAGTCTTGAAAGTTACCATGTGAAGTTTTATACGCAAAGAAGTCAATTATATTTAACAATATAAGCAATTAAAAATTATGTAAACCTTATTTATCAGATAATGTTTGTCCCTTTTTCGGGTTAAGTTGATTTTTTTTACTCTTTCTGCCCTCTTTCAAAAACGACGTTACGTCACTGTTGGTTATGGTTTAAGGGTCAATGTAAATGACACAAGGAACATTAAATATACATTTAGTTTTTAAAAAGCTAACTGTCCAGGCAGTTGTCTGGGTTTCTTGACTATATAAGTATTTGCAGGTCAGTAATCAGTATTACAATAATAACTCTTCCCGCAAAGAAAAAACAAATAAAATTAAAAGAAACAAACGTCGATCGATCGATTGAGAGAGAGAGAGAGAGAGAGAGAGAGAGAGAGAGAGAGAGAGCAGAAAACAACAGCAGCAAAGTACCCGGTAACTGGCTCAACCTATTGCCTGGCTCTTTGGCAAGGATGGCTGTTTCTTGGCATGTCAATATATCTATTTATAACGTAAAAACTATAAATGAAATACAAATATTTCAGTAGTGGCACAAACAATTCAATTCAGTTCGTTTATTGACCAATTAAGGGCCCTCGTGGGGCAAAAAGAAAGTATATGTGAAAATGTATTATAATGGTTATAATTATACACACGAAATACAATGTACGTACACGCAAGAGGGAAAGGATTACTTGATTGACAGGAAAGACATACAAGTAGGGGAATATCCCAAATATTTTATATACATGTATATAAGAATTGTTTTATAGGTATATATACATCATATATATGCATACATTCCTTAATCATATATATTTGAAGGTATCATAGTATCACACTTTTACATAATTAATAAAAAAAAAATCACAGTCCTAAATCTTATGGTAATGCTTTTTGAAAAAAAAAATTTCAAGAGAATTTAGTATATCTAATTCTTCACAATTTAGAATCCAGAATAATTTTTGTTTATCAGGCAATTCTGTAAAATGTTTTACTTTAGATGAAATCAGGTTAAATGGGTCTTCTCTTTCCTTTGTAAATTTGCTACAGTGAATAAGGAAATGTTCTTCATCTTCCATTTGATTATTAAGCGTACAATTTTTACATATTCTTTCTGATCTGGGTGTGTTATTATATCTGCCTAATTCCATGAATTGTCTGTGCCGATACACGTATACGCGTAATTATACTGGCTGCAAATTGGCTTTCTGTATTCATGTTTTAATAAAATTAGTTATTTTTCCAGTCTAAAATTGTTCTTCAGAAATAAATAAGTGACAAATTTTCCCTCTTTTAGTGTTTTATTTGAGTGTTGCCAATCAGGTGAGTATTTTTTATTCATGGATTGTTTTAATGAATTCATAAGTTTACTCTTAGTATAGGACATTATGATTGGAATATTAAGAATTTTTAGTAATTTTTCTATTTAGGAGTACCAAGTTGTTTTTTGGGCGAAATGAAGTTCCTTACTACATATAAATGCATCTTTTAGTAAAGGGGAATCCGATTTTAAATTTTCTAATCTGTACGTAATCGTAGCAATATCTAAGTAACCTGTTGATAATATCATAATGTAAAGGATATATATCTACCCAGTTGTGAAAGAGAAGCATGATTCATACTTTTCCTATTCAAACCTAATACAGTTTTACAGATCTTGATGTGTAAATTTTCACCAGTAAAGTTTTTGTAGCATAGTTGCATTAATATTTCATTAAATTGCTTTATTTTTTAATATATCAAACATGATGACAATAATAGGAAAAGTCCCAATGAACATCATTTCAGATAAGAGTATGAATTTAGGAGAAAAACATTTAAATAAATATGTACCAGGTTGTTCAATACACTAGTAAAGTTCTTATAGGTCCTAAAAAACTTTTTTACGAATTGAAATAGAATGACTTAACTCTTTTTAATTTTAGTTCTGAACTTCCGGTCTCATGTAACCAACCACGCCACGGCACGTCAGATTTGAAGAGAACTTTGAAAATGGCTTTACAAGCTATTGCATCGTTTGTGCTTCTAAGTTTTATTTTATCACCAGCTTTCTGCCAAAACACGGAAGAAGACGAGGATATGACATACGCCTTTGAGCCAGAGGAGCGGTTCCTGGACATATTTCCACTGACTGGGGACAATTTCACAGACAGCGTTCTGAGAAGTAGCGATGCCTGGATTGTCATTTTTCATTCTGGTCAGTTAAAGCGGAGCTGGAAGTCAATGGCCGTCAATCTGAGAGGCGTGGTTTGGGTTGGCATGGTAGACACGCGCTACCAAACAGAGCTGCTCGAAAAAATGGTATGTACAATTTTTAAATTTAATAATCAGATTATGTCAGCCTTGTGTTCATGCAAGTAAAATGTACCAAATTCAGTGTGCATACTTCTGACTAATATGTTTTTCAATGTGACCGCTGGGGCGAGCGCAGTTGAACTAGCAGCAATCATGTAGCCCTCTCCGATATTTAAAAAGCTGATATTTTTTGGAGTCTCAGGTCACATATATGATGTTGTCAGAAGTTACATTGAGAGCCGAGCTCCTAGTTCAGTTGAATGAGACTACAGGTCTTGTGCAAAATGAAATACTCTGTAGAGAAGAGCAGCAATTGTTTTTGTCTCTGTCAAGCTCTCAGCAGAGAAATAAAACTAAACTAGCTATCTCTTGGTAAAAAACAATTATTAATAATTATCCTTGAATGGTTTTTTGTATGTTTTGTAATAATTGGGCATGGAATCCTGGTAGCGAACGAATTATGGAAATGTTAACAAGAAAATTTGCCTGACGTATGTACAAATTTCAAAATACCCTGTAGATCAAACTCCCAGGTCAGTAGGTCAAAAATATGAAAGGTCTAGTAGTTAATTGCCAAAGTTTTAAGTATTTTAAGTTTTATCATTAGGAATATACATGTATGTACATGTACGCTCCAGTGCCAACCATTCTAGGTGGGTATTCATTCCAGGTTATGGACTTCAAGGTAACTGTTTTGCAGACAAATGGGTATACACTATACACAGATTGACAGACGAAAGAGTACATGTAAAAGCCCTCAATATCTGAAACAGGAGTTGATAAAAAAGGGGGAATATTTGCAACTTATTAAAACATGATAAATAAATAACTAGATTTCCCATGTGTAGCATATATTCTATTGATCAGATCGGATAGATACTGAAATGAAATACTATTATTAGCTCAAATTTTTACAAGAAAACTTTTCTCTCCAACAGAAATACAGAGTAAACCATGACTCCGAGGCTCGAGTGTACCCTCACGGACCAATGTCAATAAAAAAGAAGTCCTGGCTGAGTGCAAAGTCCCCAAACGAAGCTCGTATGTTAGCCGTGGACTCAATTCCAGATAATTCACTTCGGATCAAGGGGAAGAACCTCCAAGAATTCCTCGTCGACTGTTTTATGTCCAAACCATCCAGGTTCCCACTTCTGCTCCTCACGGGTAACTACCTTATAAGTAGAATTTTGAGTTTTCAATTCTGGCATCATTAATTACTAAAATTGAATATCGCCAACAGTAAAATTGCCTGTCAGTTTAATACCAGTATCTTATCTTTCGGCATTTTAAAAATTGCTGATATTTCTTGCTAAAATTTATACAGAATTTATGAACAATTCATTAAATTTGTGTCTAGCTAAAAATTCCACGTATATGGTCATTCAGTTTAAAATATATATATATATTTATGTTAGACCTAAGTCACCTAACTTCCTTAAATTTAATACCATTCTTTAATATACTATTTAATTCAGATAAAAGAATGTTTTCTACTTATTTATATAAAATTTCTATTCTAAGTAAATATTTTTCTTTTTAGAGGAGACCGAGACCCCTGTTTTGTTTAAAGCCGTGTCTTACAGATTTAAGCGGTACTTTAATGCTGCTCGGGTCGTGAAACCGACTCTGGAGGATTACAGTGCTCTAGGAATGGAGGACAGCTTCTTTGACACGCCCCTTTTGTTTGTCCTCCTACCTGATGTCAAGGACAAAGGGACCAAGCACACCCAGGACATGGGTTTCAGTGCAGTGATGTTTGAAACTAAGAAGATGGGAGACTTAAACTATCCCAACATTCTGAGATTTCTGTTTGGAGTCAATAATTCATACAGGCACACTCTCCCTGGCGACAACCAATCAAACGATCAGGAGATTTCTGAAATGTCAGACATCGTAAAAATTGAGAGTAAAAGGTTTGAAATGGAGAAGCCAAAAAAGAAAGCTAAGAAAGAGGATGATTCTAGTATTAAATTTACAATGACAAACACAATGACTGGAGCAGTCAGAGATGAATTATAGCAGAGCGTCTGTCAATTTTACGTCTTTCCTCAAATGCTTCCATTCCATTTTAAGAATACTTGCCAGCTAGTGTCATGAGACAATAAACCAGACATTTTTCCTACTTTGATTTAGAAATTTAATGCATTTTATACTTGATCATAATTTTGCTACGCATTAAAAATTCACTTGGTCCTCTGATCTACCGGTGCAAAATAATATGCCTCCGTGGGGGATAAAAATCCAAGATGCAAGACATAAAACTTTGCGATATATATTGACTAGGTTTCTGCTACTCCTATTTAATTAGGCTTATGTGTTCACTGCAGTAAAGTCGCTCATTATTTGCTGTGTTATTACAACTTTTCCTCCTGTCAGTATTGTAACTAATTTGAAATTACCGGGTATGTAAAAAAGAACACATAGTTGATACATAAATTTTCACATTATTGATACTATACTCTTTGAAAAAAATATGGACAGCTTTACCCAAAATGATCAGATACTCTGATTAATAAATTAACTTTACTATTCAATGTTAAAATCTTTCAAAGAGCATTGTTATTCTATTGCATGATGTATTTTGTATTTTTGTAATAAATAATATTTCTTGTTATTGTGCATGTATTAAACCATTATATATCTTTTTATAATTTTATAATAAAAAGAGAAAGTATTTGAAATACAATTTACTTCATTTATTCTTATTTTATATGTACATTTTTAAAGATATTTGTTGAAATAAACAAACAATGTGATGGACCTCTTAAAGAGGATTAACATGTAGGAAGTTCAGACTTCCAGAGAATCCTAACCATAATAAATATAGGATCTCTCATAATTTGTGGTTGGGTAGGGTTTTTATCCAGCAAATTGTAAGCTTTTTTTATCCCCAAACCTTGGCAAGGAGATGAAAATACACAATTTTGATAATAATAATACATGTATCCAACCACACATTATGGGAGATTCTTTTTATCCCATGTTTAATACATCACTGTCAATGTTTTACACTGTTTTTATAGAAAAATCCACTTTATATTATTATCTTCATCCCCCTTTGTGATGTCACAACTGCTGTATATGGAAAACAAAATCCAATGAGTGATATCAAAGTGAAAATTATAAAGGGACAAACATGGGATGATTCCTAATAATTAGCAGAAAAAAATGTATGATACATTATAGTAAACTGATAACACAAGAAAACATGCAATCCAAACATTCAAACACTGCTTTACAGCTTGTTTTCCACCAGAAGTGCTGGCATCTTATGATAAATATTATATGATTTGATGAACAAAATAAATATCTTTCAACCCTCTACATTACACTCAGATTGTTTGGCAAAAACCACAACTTTCTTCTGACACAAAATAAACACTCTCAGATCTTCCTTGTTGGTAAATCTTCCACCTTGCTGACTTATTTATCACATTAGCTTCTGCACACAAATCTTTGTGTAATGATTTAAACACTGTTTGATGGATCAGAATTATTTTCTGTCACGTTTTGGTTGGCTCGGCATCACTGGATTTAGAACCAAACGAGAGTTTGTCCTTCAGTTCCAAGCTCCATCTCATCATTGCGACCTTGGAGCGATCTTTAACTGCCGTAAATGAATCGAAAGCGGGTCTCACGTCCATTGCTGTAAATTCATAAGTTGATTTATCCACATCTCCCCCATCATAGTAATCTATTATGTAACGGACCTCACGTCCACAGCGGTCTACGATCCAGTCATGGCGGTCAAAGGGGAGAGGATACCTGTAACAGAATTATCACTATCAATTAAAGAATGTACTTCTTGAAGAAAGGGAATTGTATTAAATGGTTTCCACTGATTGACCTAGAATATAAAGTTTTGCACTGCAGTAAAAGAGTTACTAGTGACAGATGGGCTTGAACATGTTGAAGGTTATTGGTAGATTGGAATTCCATATAGAAAAAATCTTTATATCATACATATCAATATGTAAGATAACTGGTACTTATACTTTTATTAACTGCATAGTTTATTTTACCCCAGCCAGTGTCGTATTTTGGCTCTAGGAGAGTAGTCTTTAGCTTTTCCTCCAAATCGCTTTAATCTGGGCTCTGAACATTCCCTACAACAGAAGCAAAGCTTTATAAAACTTAATGTCAACATTCTGTATCAGAATACAGTGTCATGGTATACCAATATTTAGTTACAACAAAAACAAGGCTTTATATAGCTTACAGTTAACATACTGTATAAGAAAACAGTGTCATGGTTTAACAGAAAGCCTAATGTTAGCATACTGTGTAACAATACAATGGCATGTACATGTATATATTAGTAGGCAGTGGCATTCAGTTCTTTAATTATGTATCCATATCTGCAAGTTACACTGTACTCATTTATAGATTAGTCTTAGAGGTGTAATATTGATCATTTTACCCTCTTCCTATATATTTTTTGTGTGTTTTTTTTTTAACAAATTTGTTCTATTTTAAAATACATATAGTACAGACTACACATGATTACATTTAATAGCAAGCATATGATTTTTCCCCATTTGAATCAACCCTTGAGGTATTTTCCTTTCCACATTGTAGACACTGATGATTTGTTATTTCCCTTTGATATGTAATATATTTTCCTGCATCCCTGGCCCCCTACTGAATGGGATATATTTTCATGCATGCCTTTCAAGCTTGTCCATAGTTAATGTTAGAAACAATTTTTCCACCGCCTTTTACCTAGAGTCTGGAGAGCAATGCTTCAGATATGAGTTCCTCCTTACAAGCCAATACACTGTCATTGTTGTGAACATTGATCATGTTGATAATGTTATAACCCTTTAATCTTCAATTACCTGGCATGGAGTGCCTCCCATTTGAGGACCCCTCTCCAGGCCTGTTCACCATGTTCACTGTCAGTGTATATAAGTATATTTACCTGGCATGGAGTGCCTCCCATTTGAGGACCTCTTTCCAGGCCTGTTCATTGTTAGCGTTGTGGATACTGATGATGTTGTTCATGTCTTTATCACTAATGTCTCCCTCCTTCCAGCGCCAGCCTGTCAAAGTATAGAGAGTTTGGATCTATATGTATATATATGTGTGTCAAATAGTTAATACAAATTTTTGCTGCATCCAAGTATTTTGTTTACAAACTCCCCCCATATATCTTAGATATCAGTGTGGAATTTTTTTGTGAAATCTGCAAAAGATCTCTTGCAGATTTCACCAAAATATTCCACACTGATTTAAGAATTTTTAAACAAAGAAACACTTTACACATAATAAAACAAATGAAGGAGTCCATCATTATCTTTTGAATCACGAGCTGGGACTGACCTTTTCTAAGCATGGCATTCCAGAACATCTGTGGGGAGGGGTAAACCCAATTCTCCTCACTGTCTGCCTTAGGGATGTTGGACACCACTCTGTCAGTAGACAGGGGGAACGGCTGATCAGGGGACGGTCTTTGGTTTGGTGGAGGCATCTGTAAAAAGAAATTACATATAGCTCATTTAGAAGGAAAAATCAATACATTTCATTTCCATCTTTCTTGATTTTATAGTATTTTTCTGACTTCATAAAATCCTACCTAATTTCTCAATCAAGATTTTCCAACATCCAAATCTTTTGAATTTTGAAAAGGTCTAAGAAAATATCAATATATTCTGTTACAGGCCAATCAAAAATAGCATTGGTAGTTAGAAATTTTTACAAAATTGGCATTGTATGAATGAAAAAGATGAAAAAAAAATGTGTTGATTAAATTTAGCTGACAGATCCTACACCTGTTGTTCAACATACCATGTTCCTTGGGTCTATTTCATCACTGTTTGTGGCATTTGATCCCTGGTGCATAGGACACCCACTGGGATAAGACTGTTGAGTTTTCTGATGCATTGGACATTCGCTTGGGTAGCTCTTCTGAGGTGGCTGAGATTGTTGATGCATCGGACACTCGCTAGGATAATTCTGGTTTGTGTTGATGGTTTGTAAGTTGTTCACTGAAGTGGCTTGCTGAGGTTTCTCTGTAGATTGTGTGCCACCCATATTTAAAATTACCACTAGTTCTCTACAAACCAATGAAAAATATTGGAATTAAAAAAGCTTCTATGTTTACAATAGTCTTTTTATAAGCTAGTACATGTATAAGGAGTGACATACATGCAACTTATGTAATGTGTAAGTTTTCATTAAAGAATTTTCACATTTTCATTTGCAAGTTGAAAAACCTATATTACCCTCACAATATTCTCTCTTGAAAAGTTGATTGCTCGTTTAAATACTAGTATATTAAACCGAGCCATTACTTTCTCTGTAGAAAATAGCCTCTGGACAGTTTGGTACATTTTTTCAATGTTACACAATACATTTCATGTTGTGCAACAAACCACATATTGGTCTCTTTAACTAACTCACTGAATTTTTTTAAATTTCGCTTAAAAAAGGGATTTCTTTATGTAAAGCAAAAACAATATTTATTCAATTAGAATCAATACATTATAAAACAAAATAAAAAAAAAAAAAAATTGTTTGAGGATGATCAAGATGATGATTAGGTCATGTTTTTAAGTAAATCATTTCAGAATTATCGCCTTCCCGTCCATTTTGGTAAATGAGAGTGAACAAGAATCTTGTAATGTTTCTAAATATTTAAAATTACTTACTTTAGTCAATTAAAAACAATACAAATCTTCAAAAACACCTCAAGTAAGTTGACAATGTCAAACCAAACGTCTGTTGTGAAACATGCTTTTGTGTGAATGCCGATCCCGATCTGAAATAAGACACAAACAGGAACGAGTTACTTAGCGCCCTTTTAACACCATTGGCGCTAAAATCAAATTTCGTGTAAAGATGGTGAACTCAGGGACCAAAAGATCAAGGCATTTTCGATCGGAGAAGGAAAACATTCCACAGAGAAAGAAGTATGTGAAGCTCAGTTCAACATAAATATATAAAATTCATAAGTTTGGAGTACTAGAAGTGCATAGCAAAACTGAACGAAAAAAATGTCTGTTTGAAAAAAAAACTAAATCGGTTTATTATTATATAGATTTATTTAAAAAAAATATCGATGAAAAATATATTGAATAAATGTTGTAATAGAATTTGTTTAGTTTTTACGAGCTCATACTCTTCATTGGCTTAAAATTTATACAAATACAAATATTATGAAATAAGTAATTTTGTTGTTCAGTATGTTAAAAATATTAAAAATGAGTATTTTTTTTTTCAAATTGTAGGAGAGCAAATGTCAAAATCCGCCCCAAGAAGGAGTACACATTTGCTGATCTGGGTTGTGACTTATTGTCAGAGAGTGGTAGTTCAGACAGCGAGAACTTGGATTTAATCACACCAAGTGTCACCAGTACAGCCAACGAATCTCTGTTATTACAGGTATAACATGGACAAGACATAGAATCAGCAAAGGTGTAAATCCTGAAGTCATGTATACAGGTGTCTCATTATATCGCGGTACTTAATTCTTTTGCCTAGAAAGTGTAATTTCTAATTTTTGTTTTAACTTACATCATGTTATGTACATCAAATGATAATTGTAATTCTAACTTTGGCCTAACTTTTTAATGTCCAATTATTTTCCAAGCTTGCATCGTTTAATTTGTGGTCTATTTTTAAAACAGGAAGTCTTATTTACCTCCTAAATCGGAGAGTCTCATTGTATCGCGGTATGGAAATACATGGAAACTTGTAAATGATACAGACCTCAATTTTTATTTTTGAATTTACGATGTAATTCTACATGAAAAAGTGAACAATTGTATAAACTAAAGACTCTTAAAAGATGAACTTTATTATGATTTTTACGAGATTATAATTCTAATGGTCTAAATATAATTTAAAGGAGACAGGAAATCAGAAAATTTCGTTTTATTTTTTTTCAAAAGGATGTTCCATACTTCTTAATCACCGAAAAAAATAAACATTCAAACAACATTCATAATGTCTATCAACAAAAAGAAAATAGGCTATGTATCCACATTTTTGCGATATACCGCGATATAATGAGAATTGAGTATAAAATCAGAAGTTTTTGAAATTACTTTTGATATTAGACTAGAGATGAATTGAAAGAGATACCCTCTTGTGTTTGATTCTAAATTTATGGGTCTTAAAGCTAAACACGACTTGTAACTAGGCGTATGCCATATTCGATTATACTATACTACACTATACTATAGGTGTATTCTTAGGTATCTTTCTCTCCTGCCATGGAGGAAGTACTGATACACCATTGTTTTTTTGTCATCAGATTTTTTTTTCACTTGATTGAGGGTTGTATCATATATCTACAGGCCCCTCGAATATTACAGAACAGTCAGAAAGACAATACACCATCTGCAATACACACTGTGGCACTCACTCCAAAACCGGAGAAGTGTGATGAGAATATATGTAAAAGTCATCCAGAAATCCCCAGAGATGATGCAGGTTTGAAAAGTATTCATACAATAATTATTTCAAAGCAATATAAAATAATGTGTATACCTTACACTTGTTTTCATATCCTCAGATGTTTTAATGGTTTATTTTTCATGCACAGATTACGTCAGCCACTTGTCAGATGAAATGATACTACGTATTTTTCATTGGTTGCCAAAATTTAGCCTTGCCAAATGTGCTCGAGTTTGTCGCCGCTGGAATCGTGTTGTGTAAGTTCTGGGAATTTCCACCAAATTTTGGGTCGGGGTTCTTAAACTTAGGATTTATTGGCTGTTCATAAGAAACCATTATAAAAAATATGGCTTTAAAATTTTTCAGGAAAAAAAGCCTAAAAAAAATATTTGTTCCTGCTCCTCCAAGCAACCTTAAGTTTTATGACAGACCCTAATTTTTTAAAGCTTTGCTCACTGAAGATATGAAATGATATGTATATATATCTGTTTCTATTTTGTATGTAAACAAAGGTATGAAATGTGGTATTGTCATTTTTTTCATCTTTATTTGGTAAGAATGCAATAAGTTTAAATTTCAAAGTTTATCAATTACAAGTACAAGAAAGTTTATTGCTGAGGTTTTAAATGTATTTTATTTTTAACATTTCCTGTTTTTTTTTTCAGTGGAGATAAGTCTTTATGGAAGAGAATTGATCTAGCCAACAAAAGAGTAAATACCAGCTGTCTGGGCCTGCTGTTACACCGTGGTGTTAATGTTCTTAGACTCACGAAAACAGAGGTAGGTCCTATTACGAGCCAGTTTTGATGTTTTTCTGGCACGACATATGTTTTAGATTGTAATACAAGGTGATTATGTTCTTAGACTGACAAAAACAATGGTTGGTACTACATCCAGGTTCTCAGACTGACAAACAGTTCCCTCTTTGTCTCTATGAGGCCCCAGTCTCTAGTCGCATTAAATCTCTATAGAAGGAAAGGACTCCTGCTCTGGGGACAGAGGCTGTTTATGATTTCAACTACTTTCAGTGTATAAATGCCCTTTGTAGTCAGTATCCATCAGAGATTTTTATTTTGTTATTGAATTTTTTCGTATTCTTTGTAGATAACAGAGGACGGGTTTGACAGGTATTGGAAGGGAGATAAATCTGGGTAAGCAGTGACGGCATTACTTGAACAAAAATATTCATAAGGCTACCTAAAATTGAAATTCTCGTTCTCAGGCTCGTGCGCATCTGTTTTGAGATAGCCGCATTGCTAATTTTATTATTTTTTGATAAAATAAAAAGTGGGAGACCAATCTGGAAAAAAAAAGTTCCATCCTCATTTTATCGTAGTTTAGTATTTAAATATCACTTCCGGCAGCCATTTTCAAAGAGATTTTGTCTACTTTGTTTGAAAATACATTCGAAGACATTGCCTACGATGTTCACATGCTGATAAGCAATGGATAAAGCCTAAAAAAATTAATTAATAGTTTCTCAGGCAAAAAAATTCAATTTCAATGCGGCAGGCAGGCTTTTTTTTTTTTGAAGCAGGTTTTTCACCTTTTTTAAGCCATTTGTTTAATAAAATGAAAATATCTACTAATACTTAATTTTTGTTCTCTAAAATTACTTATAATATGTATTCAACTTTAAATAATGTTATGCCAAACATTTATTTAAAAGTTTATTCATAAAATATTGTAAATTTAGAAGAAATTAGTGATGGGACATCGGTTAATTTTCATAATTGATCATCGGTTAGAATCGGTTACTGCTTCCGATGCGATTTTACCAATTATAATCGAATGTCATAGTTTTGTACATAAAAGCAGACTATAACAATGAATTCATATTATTTCTTCATCGCGGATATATAAATATGTAATATATTGTTTTCTTTGTTTATATCTTCTTTTACACTTTCTATAATATAATATATAATGCACCCTTTGGTCTTAATCACAGTGCTCCAAGTTGCGACTAAAACGGTCGCATTTGCGACCAAAAAATTGGTTTTGCGACTAGAAATTAAAACTAAGTCGCATTTTCGCGACTGAGAAAATTTGGGCTGGCAACGTCCATCTTCTTATAATCGGGATCGAGATTTAGGTTTTCAAGATTCTCCATCAAGACAACGTTTGAAGATACATGTATATACTTTAAAACACTTTACAAAGCGTCGTATGGACTTAGATCACGTAATGTTATGACAGCATGCTGTAATAGTTAAATTTGATAAAACCAGAAACGTATGTGCATAACGTTTCTGAGAGAATGGCATCCAAACGTCGTAAACTTTCTAGAGTTTTTTTTTGACTTTGTTATTAGAGCATTTGTTCAATGGCTTGCATATCACAATTAAGTGTTTTGGCAGCATTGATAACGACTGAGTTATGGGTAAGATACGTAGTAGTAAGTAAACATGATAAACAATTGGCAAAGTCTAGTCTCAACAACTGTCAAAGTTTTATTTTATATTGATTAAACTCTAATTCTAGGATCAGATTACTTGTGTTCTTCTGTGTACTATACAAAAGATGGTTGTATTTAATAAAAATATATCCTTCAACTAGCAAAAGATTTCTAGTCACAGTAATTAATAATCTTTGATTTAATAAAAACATAACACATGTGGAAGTTAGTTCATTGTTTAAACTGTGTTATTTACATGTTTTCATCATTGCGAGTGAAAAATTTGTTTATGGCGACCAGAAATTCTGAAATGGCGACCAAAAAAAATTTTAGGTCGCCATTTAGCAACCTTAAAGTAAGTGCGACTTGGAGCACTGAATCACCTTGATCTGCTTTGTGCTAGTTTGCTTTGTAACACATAAGTATGGTGAATGGTGTGATGCCTGTCCATATGAATCATTGACCAGGCACTGTTAGCATTGAAATAACCTGGACATTCCAACTAATATATAAATTAGAAACCAAGAAAAAAGATGTACCTGTATAATTTGTTGAAAAAATAATGATAATTAACACATAATATATTATATTAATTAGTACGTTTCCGATGATCGATTATGAAAAACAATAATCGATCATCGGAATCGGTAGCATTTTTTCGTCAACAATCGATGTTTTCCGATTATCGGTACAACACTACAGGGACCAACCTAGACCAAAAATTTAGGGAGACTTCACTTCTCCCTCAAAGAAATTTAGGGAGAAGTTTTGAAATTTAGGGAGACTTCATGGCGCGTCGCGCACATTTATTAATAAACGTTGTAGAAATAAAATTATTTCATTGTTTATATTTTATTAATAAATACGTTTCATTAATTTTCTGTATTAACATCATACTGAAAATAATCAAAAAGAGAAAAAATTCTTTAAAAATTAGTTTTTATATTTTTCCAATTACAAAGTATAAAATTATCTGACCCCAAAAATTAAACAATATCATTGTATAAATTTCTTATTGATGAACTTGTTTATTTTTTTTTTTTCATTTCTTGCATAGTATGCACAATTAACTTTAATATTCACTCTTGTTATTTTATATTTTCAGGGTCTTTGCATAGTCATAATTTTTTTCAATTTTCACTTCAAAATTAAATTCATTTTCAATCTCCAATTCTTTTTCTAAAAAAGTTTTTATGTACTACTGTATGTACTACTGCACGCCGATTGAACTACTTGACTGTGTGTATAGATTAGACGTGTAATTTCTTAGAAAGTTAATAACTCTACAATATAACAGTAAAAATATGTCTGCATACACAGCATGAATTAATTATTTGACAATAGAAAGATCTAAAATTATCTCCAACATCTTTGGCATGACATCAATCAGGGATTTATCAAGGCTGTTTTTACTACCGGTAAACGGTACCTTTCCCCTCTTGAGAAAGGTGAAAAATTCCCCTTTTTCAGATAGAAAAGTCTCCAATTAAACGGAGAATATTTAAAACATCGTACTGAAATTTTCCGTTTTTGTCCGATTGAAGTTTAACAGCATAACCTAATTCACAATCCTAGTCATTCAAACGCTTTTAAAAGAGAGAGTAGATTATTCAAGCTTCTAGTTGATATTGATTGGTAAACATGTGCCATGTCCATGATGTCAAAATATACGTGTGCGATTGCAGAGTTAAGAAAAGTGTAGATGAGTAAGATGGAGCTTAAATCACTATGAATCGGAAGAATGGAGTAACAACAAAAACAATGTTAGTAGTGAAACATGAAAAACAGAATTGATTTGTGATAGATATTGAGAGAAAAAATTAAATAAAGTACTGACCTGGTTTAAATTTTTTTTTGTTATTTAATATTTTGTCTCAAAACTGAAGTTTTTGTGGCCTTTGTAAAGGTCTACAAATGACCCTCAGAAGCTCTAAGAATGCAGGATTTTGCTCCATTTATTTAAAAATTTTCCGGGGGGGCATGCCCCCGGACCCCCCTAGAATACTCGCGCCTCCGGCGCTCAGATCGAGCCTGCGGCTCTCATTTTTCCCCTTTACATATAAAACGGTAGTAAAACAAAATAGCTAGATAAATCCCTGTCAATCATGTCGATAGCTGTCCAGCTGTTTTACGTCTTGTTGTTTACAACCTGTAACAATGGACTTTTACATACACGGAAGCGTAAAATCTAGAGGAGTTCCGACAGAGTATTCAATGACTTGGTCATTGGTAGCGAAACAGGTGCAAGTGTCCTGCTGTTTCGTTTATTTCAGCAGTAATAAAACATGATTTATAAACTACTGACGATTCTACCATGTTTCCTAATAGATTTTTTTATGATTTTCAATAAAGGGTTTGCAAATGTTAAGGCGACTTAAAATTTCGCTTTCATGATAAATTACGGCGAAGTTTGGAGCCCAAAAGCGACTATTTCGCCTCAGTCGCCCCCTAGGTTGGTCCTTGCACTAGAAGAAGTATATTGGTTTTTCTATTAAAAACGTCTATCTTAGCATTTATGAAAAGGGGAATAACTCAATTTTCTTTTCCAACTTGGAAAAATAGAAAATTGAGTCAATTCCCTTTTCATTATGTCAATAAAATTTATCAATGCGGCCATTTTTTAACTGATGCAGCGGTGCCTGAGAAAATATTGATTTTTTTTTTTGGCCTAAAGCAAACCTTTTGATCAGACATGGAAAGTATATCTGTGATTAAAAAAAATTATCTCTGTTTTTTAAAAAAAATTGAAAATTCAAATTAAAAAAATACCTCCCTCATCTACTTTTTTTCCAATAAAATGATAAATAAAATGCCTCCTGCCCGCATCTGTTTTGGAGAAAATTGGCCTGAGAACCAGAGAATTAAATTAAGATAGCCTAACTGCTTCAAGCAGTAATTTATTTTTTCACTTCCCATACTACAAACAATCATTATGATTAGAAGCAATCAAATCTGAAACATTTAATCTGAAAAGTTCAAAACTACAGTTTATGTGAAAACTCTTTATACTTGACAAGAAAAAAACCCTTGTGGTGAAAACGTACCAGTCTGTAATTGCCAAAAATTTTATGGACTCTGACCAATTACTACCTTTCAGTGTAGTGCAGCTTAATGCTGTATTCTGATATTTAGCACACTTTGACAAAGTCAAGGTGAATTTATGCTACAGTTTTTGGCAGAATTGTTTTTTCCAAAGTCAATTATTGGAAAGTACATTGATTTAAATCCGTTGTCAGTAAGCACTGCTATATTTGCAGGTTCGAGTCCCAACTGTACCTTGATTTGAGTCTGTCAGTTATATTTACAGGTTCCAGTCCCTTCAGTACCTTGATTTGAGTCTGTCATATTTTTCAGGTTTCAGTCCCTGCAGTACCTTGATTTGAGCCTGTCATCAGCCAGTACTGTTATGATGGGGCACTTGTTCTCCTCCTGTCAGAATCTGAGGAAACTCAGTCTGGAGCTCTGTACAATAGATGATGATGTTGCCCAGTAAGTCAAAACGACATAATCTTCTAGATCTAAAGGTGTTTAATATATTTCAGGTATTCAGCTTAAATGTGTGACAAAATAAATGATGTTGAAACTGGTGTAATGAATGTTTTTTTTTATTTGTTTGTTTGTTTTAGTTTGTTTGGACAGAATAAGAACCTTCAGGTGTTGAATCTCAGTATGTGTGAGGGACTGACAACTACAGGGCTGGCCGCCATTCTTTCTGGTTGTAGAAGGTAGGGGTCTCTTATGAGTTTTAGGGCTGTGTATTGAACCAAAAATTTCGATACGATACAATATTTTTTAAAGCGATATGCGATATATTGGATTCTAAAACAAGTCTATGAGAAAAGGCTTATGAATCATTTTAATGCATAAATTTCATTACAATTGAGCGTTTTATTACCCATTTTAAAGTTCTTGTCTCATTTTCTTTATTAATAACACCTCAAATTAAAACTTTTAATGACAGTAAAATCAACATGTTCAAATAAAATTCTCTTTGTATTTTTTTAATAATTGTAAAAACTGTGTTATTTCCTTATAAATTATAAAATTATTGAACAGTTTTAATTCAAAAAAGTGAAATATAATCTTTGGTGATTGAAATTCCCATCTTTTTAACAGAATTAGAGGAAAAAGTGTCTGTCCGATACGTATTGGAAGTTATTTTTCGATACAATATTTTTCTTGAATATCGATACGTATCGATATATCGATATATTGATACAGCCCTAATGAGTTTCCTGTATGAACGAGTTTAGTAATCACTTAATTACCAGTAAAACAAATAATTGATCCCAATAAGTTAACCATGTAAGCCACTTTTGTACAATAGATGATAATGTGATCCAGTAAGTTACAAGAGTGCTGTCTTTGATTGGCTATATTATTGTGACCGCTGTCTTTGATTAGCTATATTATTGTAATCGCTGTTTTTGATTGGCTATATTATTGTAATCGCTGTTTTTGATTGGCTACATTTCAGGTTAACTTCCCTGAACTTAGCTTGGACCGGACTGAAGAGACAGAGTGTGGCCTACTTATCCCTGTGTCTCCCTCCTTCAGTAAGAAAACTGAACCTGAGTGGATGTCGAGAACACATCACAGATGAAGGTAAATATTCTGCAACAATCTGGATACTGAGCCATAGTACACATACTAAGAATGCATAACAGATAAAGGAAAATCTTCACAAGTTTTACAAAATACAATTCTCCATTTCAATATCTGGATTAACAATGCCCCTCTATACATAAATTCCAATGTACAGTATATTTCCTACAATAAATATGTAGAACTGTTTGTTATATACACATTATACATGTTTGTATTCTATGTTTGGAATATATATGTAGAGGTGTTTGTATTTTCTGAACAGAAGTGCTACAGCTGGTAAGAACCTGTCCTGATCTTACAGAATTGGACCTCTCAGACTCCACGGTCATCACAGGACTGTCCATCTCCTACATCATGTCTCACCTGACCAATCTACAATACCTGGCCCTCAGCAGGTGTTATAGACTCCCCTGTAACAGTATCAGGTAAATATCATGTCTCACCTGTATAATCTACAGTACCTGTCTCTCAGCAGGTGTTATCGACCTCCTGTTACAGTATCAGGTAAATATCATGTCTCACCTGTATAATTTACAGTACCTGTCTCTCAGCAGGTGTAACAGTATCAGGTAAATATCATGTCTCCCTGTAACAGTACCTGTCTCTCAGCAGGTGTTATCCACCTCCTGTTACAGTATCAGGTAAATATCATGTCACACCTGTATAATCTACAGTACCTGTCTCTCAGCAGGTGTTATAGACTCCCCTGTAACAGTATCAGGGAACAATCATGTCACACCTGTATAATCAACAGTACCTGTATCTCAGCAGGTGTTATAGACCTCCCTGTAACAGTATCAGGTAAATATCATGTCTCACCTGTATAATCTACAGTACCTGTCTCTCAGCAGGTGTTATAGACTCCCCTGTAACAGTATCAGGTAAATATCATGTCTCACCTGTATAATCTATAGTACCTGTCTCTCAGCAGGTGTTATAGACTCCCCTGTAACAGTATCAGGTAAATATCATGTCACACCTGTATAATCTACAGTACCTGTCTCTCAGCAGGTGTTTTAGACTCCCCTTTAACAGTATCAGGTAAATATCATGTCACACCTGTATAATCTACAGTACCTGTCTCTCAGCAGGTGTTATAGACTCCCCTGTAACAGTATCAGGTAAATATCATGTCTCACCTGTATAATCTATAGTACCTGTCTCTCAGCAGGTGTCACAGACTCCCCTGTAACAGTATCAGGTAAATATCATGTCACACCTGTATAATTTATAGTACCTGTCTCTCAGCAGGTGTTATAGACTCCCCTGTAACAGTATCAGGTAAATATCATGTCTCACCTGTATAATTTATAGTACCTCTCTCAGCAGGTGTTATAGACCCCCCTGTAACAGTATCAGGTAAATATCATGTCACACCTGTATAATCTACAGTACCTGTCTCCCAACAGGTGTTATAGACTCCCCTGTAACAATATCAGGTAAATATCATGTCTCACCTGTATAATTTACAGTACCTGTCTCTCAGCAGGTGTTATAGACTCCCCTGTAACAGTATCAGGTAAATATCATGTCTCAACTGTATAATATACAGTACCTGTCTCCCAGCAGGTGTTATAAACTCCCCTGTAACAGTATCAGGTAAATATCATGTCTCACCTGTATAATCTATAGTACCTGTCTCCCAGCAGGTGTTACAGACTCCCCTGTAACAGTAGCAGGTAAATATCATGTCTCACCTGTATAATCTACAGTACCTGTCTCCCAGCAGGTGTTACAGACTCCCCTGTAACAGTATCAGGTAAATATCATATCTCACCTGTATAATCTACAGTACCTGTCTCCCAGCAGGTGTTACAGACTCCCCTGTAACAGTATCAGGTAAATATCATGTCTCACCTGTATAATCTACAGTACCTGTCTCCCAGCAGGTGTTACAGACTCCCCTGTAACAGTATCAGGTAAATATCACGTCACACCTGTATAATCTACAGTACCTGTCTCTCAGCAGGTGTTATAGACTCCCCTGTAACAGTATCAGGTAAATATCATGTCTCACCTGTATAATCTACAGTACCTGTCTCTCAGCAGGTGTTATAGACTCCCCTGTAACAGTATCAGGTAAATATCATGTCTCACCTGTATAATTTACAGTACCTGTCTCTCAGCAGGTGTTATAGACTCCCCTGTAACAGTATCAGGTAAATATCATGTCACACCTGTATAATCTACAGTACCTGTCTCTCAGCAGGTGTTATAGACCCCCCTGTAACAGTATCAGGTAAATATCATGTCTCACCTGTATAATTTATAGTACCTGTCTCTCAGCAGGTGTTATAGACTCCCCTGTAACAGTATCAGGTAAATATCATGTCTCACCTGTATAATTTACAGTACCTGTCTCTCAGCAGGTGTTATAGACTCCCCTGTAACAGTATCAATAAGAAAAGGATGACTGTGCAATCTGAGGGTAGTTTTAAAACAACTTATGATGAAACTTATGAATAAACTGTCTTTACATTAATTTAAAAATGGTTTTAATAATTTGAAAAGAATTTTGAAAGGTTTTTTATGCATGACTGAATAACTAATTACAAAAGTTAAGTTTTTGGTCCTAATCACAATTTCTAGTATAAGGGCCCTAATATCTGACTAAGTAGAACTCCAGTAAATTGTTTCTTGTTCTTTACTCTTCCCTATTTTTCATGACAATTACAGAGAGCTGTCCTATCACCCACGGCTGTCAGAAGTCGAGGTCTTTGGAATGTTTCGAGATGGAACAATGGAACATCTCAAACACGAAATGGGGAATCTGGAACTGAATCGGTACCCCTTCTCCAACATCGCGAGGCCCACCACGGGAATCAGAATGACTTCCCTGTGGGGCCTCAGGGTGAGGGACAATGCTGTGTGATGACCGGATCTCAATCATGTGCCAAATTTAGACAGCAGCAATATACAGTTAGTACACATATCAGCCCATCTCAGGAGAGAAAGCTATCTGTCAAATTCTCAGTCTGTGTAAGTTAATTAAATAGGAACAAAGTTGTTAATATTTTTATAAGTTGTTGAGATTGACGTTATTTAAGGTAGATCTGTATTTGGTCAGGGTTTAAATGTCAGGAGAATGTCTGATGAGAGCATTACAATGTCAGTGTAATAATGCTTGCTTTTTACATGATATCATAAAGAAACATGATTTAGCTTTTACTTGATGTGTCAATTTATTGAATATTTGGTAATATATGTATGTACTGTGGAATCATTAATATTGTTCATTGGGTAGTCAATATATATTATTATAACAGTAACTTGATCCGAAGGGTCGTATCACGTCGAGTTGACAGGCGCGGATCATCAGATCAAACTATCTGTCAAATTCTCAGTCTGTGTAAGTTAATTAAATAGGAACAAAGTTGTTAATATTTTTATAAGTTGTTGAGATTCACGTTATTTAAGACGTCGAGTTTAATACAAATCGTCGAGACGCTTCGCGTCTCGTTTGATCTGATGATCCGCGCCTGTCAACGAGACGTGATACGGCTCTTCGGATCAAGTTACTGTTATAATGATAAATTTATTATATACCCCCTTATAACTGGCTAAATAAATTAGAATAAACCTTTAGAGAACAATTGTATAATATTAATCCAATAAACAAAGCATAATTACAAGGGACTTTTTAACGCGCAAAAAAAATAACGTCATATTTCTGCGTACCACGTCATCAGTTTCAGAGAGTGGTGATATGGATTCAGAAAACAACATGTTGGTGATCTGGAAAATCGGATCACGACGTCACGTGATAGCGTAAATTCAACAGTAAAATTGAGTGATACACGTTAGGTATATAATAATACCATTTATCGTGGATTTATGAGTCATCCTTATCCACAAATTAACATCCCCATAAACAATGATGTTCTAAACGTAATGGTTCAATGAATCTTTTGAAAATGCGAGTTACCCACAAAATAACACCCATACAAACAAGGAAAATTTTGATCATCCACCAATATTCACTGCCACAAATTCAAATGATTCTCCACACAAAATAGACAACTCGTATTTCTTGGCTACACAAGGATTACCAGGCTGTATCCTCAAGGAAATATTTATTTAATCTTGTCCTAATTTTTTAAAGAAATTTTATGAAGTATTCTTATAAAAGCTGACTTTGTGAAGTGTATGACTCCTGGTGTATGATTATGAACTATGTGTATAAAAGTATGGAATTTATGTTGCAGTATGTTTATTGATGGATGGATACCAGCATCTTTTATACATGTAGATGCTTTTAACACTTGTTAATAATTTAAGTATTTAAAGCTCTTTTCTTTCCATTGTTACTCTTTACATTGTAAGTTATTGTCAGCATTATCTGATTGATGCAGTTGAATTACAGTTATTTAAACATATAGTGCATGTGTTTATAGATTGTAACCAGTTTCAATTTATATAGTTATTTGTTATAAATTAACATTGTTAATATAATAGGAGATAAGTCAAATGTTGGTGATGTCACATGGTGCGTACTGTTTAAGCATTATTCTACATTTATTGTAGAGAACTAGTTAGTTTGTCCATGTGTTCGTTGGTTTGTTTTACTGTTTTGGCTTTAGTATGATCCTGTGTTTTGTATTTTTATCATGTTTAGTGCTTTCCATATTATCTATGGTAACCTCTGTAGTTAAATTACTTATATAGTGAGAAAGTCAATGGATAAGTGTGTGATGTTCTAGCTATGTAATGTTACGTTTATTTTTATTAAACAGATTTATATGTTTACAGTCAGATGTTATTTTTAGAGTTACTTCCCTTGTCACACAAGAGAACCATTCTCTCATTCGGCTCACCTCAGCTGAGTACAGTACCCTACACCCTACCGATTTGATGTAATCGGCTGGGTGTGCCGAATGCCATTCTCTTTCTAGAGTTGTCTTTCCTGCTACGCTACCACATACACAGAAATGATAAATCTTCATTTTTAGCTCACCTGAGCCTTCAGTGAGCTTTTCTGATCACATTTCGTCTGGCGTCCGTCTGTCTGTCTGTCCGTAAACTTTTCACATTTTCGACTTCTTCTCAAGAACTGCTGGGCCAATTTCGACCAAACTTGCCACAAAGCATCCTTGGGTGAAGGGGATTCAAGTTTGTTCAAATAAAGGGCCATGCCCTTATTAAAGGGGGGATAATTGAGAATTAGTGAAAATTTGGTGGTATGTTTTAAAAATCTTCTTCTTAAGAACCACTGTGCCAGGAAAGTTGAAACTTATGGGGAAACATCCTCAGGTAGTGTAGATTCAAGGTTGTTCAAATCATGTCCCCTGGGGGTAGGGTGGGGCCACAATGGCCCACCAAAGTTTTATATAGAAATATATAGGAAAATTCTTTAAAAATCTTCTTCTTAAGAACAGCAAAGCCAGAATTGCTCATATTTATATGGAAGCATCCCCAGGTAGTGTAGATTCAAGTTTGTTAAAATTGTGACCCCCGGGGGTTGGGCGGGGCCACAATGGCCGACCAGTTTTATATAGAAATATATAGGAAAATTCTTTAAAAATCTTCTTAAGAACAGCAAAGCCAGAATTGCTCATATTTATATGGAAGCATCCCCAGGTAGTGTAGATTCAAGTTTGTTCAAATCGTGACCCCCGGGGGTAGGGCGGGGCCACAATGGCCGACCAAAGTTTTATATAGAAATATATAGGAAAATTCTTTAAAAATCTTCTTCTCAAGAATAGCAGAGCCATAATTGCTCATATTTATATGGAAGCATCCTCAGGTAGTGTAGATTCAAGTTTGTTCAAATCATGACCCCCGGGGGTAGGGCGGGGCCAAACTTTTGGATTCAAACTTTTCAATAGTAAACCAATTACTACTTTTTCCTAGCCACAATGCTCGGGTGAGCGATGTGGCCCATGGGCCTTTTTTTTTATCAATAATTACAAGAGAATTTAATTTCAAATTTTCACCAATTAAAACTTGTCCAAGAATCTTGTACAACAAGCGTTGACTGAGGTGTTGGTAGCGTAGCGGCAGACAATTCTATATAGAGAATGACTAGAGATCTCGGTATTACAACAAACAAGTATCTTCAAAATACAGTGTTTAAAGTATCATGTAGGTAAGCCTACTGTGCCGTTTTATTCCGTTAAGTTCCAGTAGCCCTTTTCTAAAAGAAAAAAAGGAGTCTTCAATTATAGCTAGTGCGTATATAAATCAGGTAAAAATAATTTGTCGAAAAATTGGAGAGGAGTTTTCAATAAGTCTTTCAGGGAGAAATTTCTGGTTTTTTTCCTCATAAATTGTGGTAGTTTCTGAAGTATTTTAACGAAATTTGGTTACTTTGAAGGAGGGTCGGTGTTATATTGAGTCGGTTTAGAAAAAAGGCTGTGCGGGGGTGGGGTGTTCACATCTGCAAAAAACTGAATGGATGGTGATAGAGGTATCTCCTCATAAACATACCATGTCCTGCTTACTGTTGTTTACTTTTTCCTTGTTGTTTAAATACACTTAATTTGCATTTAAAGGCTTTTAAAAGAAGAATCCTGAGCATCTCACAGCTTCCGGTTTTTTCATCATCCTTAAAAAAGCACACTTAAGATAAAGGACACCTATTCTGTATAGAAGATTATTAAATGATCAGGAATTTTGGTGCTCTCTGATTGGTCTAGATGCTCTTTCCTAAAGTGTACCCCAGAGTGAGTTCACCTCAAATAAAGTTTTGGGAGGCTTATCTGGCTTTTCCCTCTTTTTGACCAACCATGGTTTTGCTTACAGTTTTTTTCGACCAATCAAATTGCGTGTTTCAAAGCATGTGTCATTGTGAATGTAATAAAAGATATGGAGATAACGAATAGTAATCCAGATCAAAAGCCCTTAAAACAATATAGAAAATAGGAGCAGAGCAAACACGAACCTCGAAAACATCAGAGGTGGAATCAGGTGCCATGGAGGAGTGAGCATCCTCTGCCGACCGGTCACACCCGCCGTGTGCTCCTTGTCATGATCGGGAAATAACGGAAAAATCCGTCGTCAGTTCAGTGTTTAAATAATGGACAAACAATTAGTATGAAAAACTTCAGTCAGCATTTGACTCAATGATAAATTGTATTTATTGATAAGGTCATTGTATCGACCATAGAACTCACGAAATGATGACTTTGAACGAGCCTGCTGAAATTTTTGTTTCATCAACTTTTTTGTCAATAATTTTCCTTGTTTTATAAATTGTTCATACGTAGAGCACGCCTTGCGTATTAATCAACTGAGATATGTAAACTCCGTATGCAGGTGATGAAGGAGTAAGGGAAGTTGATAGAAAAGTTAAAGTCATCACGTTTATCATAGAGCTTGGTTGTTAGATTACCATTAACTTCTTTTTAAAGTAAAATATCTAAATATGAAACAGATGACCATGTGTCACACTCTGTGGTATCTTTTATCTCAAGCTCACCAGGATATTATTAATCGCATCGACATAAGAATGGAAATAACCATTGTTAATTGACAGTACGTCGTCGATACCGGTATATCTAAATGTTGAAGGCCACAGCAAGTGTTTTCTTCTTTTAACGAAGATTTTGCACAAATTCTGCTTCATAAAAATACAAAAATCGATCTGCTAATAACGGGGGGCAAATGGTACCAATGGGAATTCATAGATTGTTGGAAGATCTGCTCTCCAAAAACAACATAGATATTGTCAATCAGAAACTAGAGCATCTTTTTTGATGTCGACTTCAGAGTACTTGTGTGTACAATCAGATTGCTTCTTAACAAAATAATTTTGCATTGTGAACATGGCAGACGCCAGAACCAAGGAGATTAAACCCTTATAAAAGAAAATGGTTGAGTATTTATTGTTTAATAATTTTGTTTTTCATTTTTAACTAGTTGTTAAGCTATTGAAATGTATAACTATAATGTGTTGTTACTTTTTGCGTTTTATCATTGGTGTTTAATTTATATTTGATGTCGGACAAGAACCAAAAGTTCAAAAGTGTTGTAAAATTCCTGATCATTTAAAAAAACGGTTATTGACTTTTGAATTCGGTTTACTTGTGACTATACGGACCTGGTCAGGTATTAGTTAACCTTCGGCCTCAGTCAACCAATACCTGACCAGGTCCGTATAGTCACGAGTAGACCTCATCAAATTAAGTCAATAATTGTATAAAGTTGACCAGAATCTATCCCAGTTTTTACCTTTACTTACTATACAACTTTTCTTTTTAGCAACCCATTTTTTGCGATAAATTTTGGTGGAACTTGGATGG